AAATCCACAAAAATCAAAATTTTACTCGAGACAAAAACAGCACTGTATATCATTTTAATTTCCCAGACTAATAACTTGTTTAAGAGGGACATGAAAATTTAGAAGAAAATTATTTTTCATTAAAACGTCTTGTTATACGTATAATGGTTGTAGTAAATAGTAAATGAAAATACAGGAGAAAACAATTTTATTATTTAAATTTCCTATGTTCAGCTGTACAATTGATATCAAGACGTAAGAGGATTATACAAAAATTATACATTAATAATCGAATCAATAAGCTAATGAAATAACATCAAAATATAATAAATAAAAGAAAAAGTGAATACTGAAGTACTTTCGAATTTTTCATGCATATAAATTCAAAATTTGAATTGTAAATCGTCTAATCATATCCGTTTGTCATAAAACAAAACAAATTCAAATAATCTCAGTTGAAAATTATCGTTCAATTCAAAACAGGCATCCTTCGGCTTCAGCGATATAAAAATGAAAAAAAAAACCTTCAAAACTTTGAAAAAGTCGCATCCGAAGATTTCTCATTTAGACGAGATCAGCTTGAAATAAAGCAGGAAGACAATAATAATTTATTTTTTAATAAAGAAATACTTACGCCGATTACTTCGTTACATTATAGCAAATGAACAATTTTATTTTAGTAAGTAGGTAACACATAAATACTTCATTAATTTTCAGCTGTTTACTATTATTTATACCTTTTGCATAATTATTTTACAAATCTTTGTGTGCTAAGTATTTTTAGACTACATTTCAACTTAATTATCATTGTAAAATCCTTTAAAATTAAACAATAAACAAATAAAAAGCAACAAAAAGGGTTGAATACACAAAATACCCTACTTAGATCAAATGTATCAAGATTCCAAAGAGATTTTTGTAAACAGATATGGATAGCGTATGTATTATAAGTCAGACTTACTTATTTTTAAAGTACGGCAATGACGTCGCTTTTTCTTCCTGAGGGAAACGGTCGCCACCCCGCGAGCATTCCCGCACAACTGATTTTACTCCTGTGCTAGTCGTCGCAATTAAACGCCGGAGAGTTCACGCCGAAGCAGGCGTCGTCGTCGTCGTCGCGACGCTTTCGACGCCTGGCGTCTGGAAGTCGGTTGATTTCGCGGTAATACACGTAGAGGCATTTTTTATGAGAACTCACGTCTAAATGAAGTGCAAATTGCAAGAAAGCAAATGCGTTTACATATTACAATATAAAATACGCTACTGCTTGTTTAAATATGCTCTGATCAGTCAACTTCAAAATATGTGAAACGCTCTTTAAAGTTTTAACGGTGCAATTCTTGTCAAAGGACATAACTAAACAAAAATAAAACAATTATTAATGAAACGGTGATTTCCCGTTTTACCAGGTTTCAAATTTCTACCTGTTTTGGCTATGCCAGTCAAAACGGTCGCATTCTGAAATATCGAAACTCTAAAAATTGCTTTATTAGCAATCTTGGCCCATGCTAAATAAAGGGCTGGCTAAGTCCATGCCAAAAAATGCAAGTTCTTCTTGAATTATTCAATTATGTATTTTAGAATAATGATTAACAATATACTTTTTGTTTCAGAACTCCGAAAAGGTTACCTCTGAACGAAAATTCCTTGCTTTCCTATAAAAAAAAAGGTACGTACGATTTTATTTAGGATTGTTTTCTTAACTTTCTTATTAATTACAAAATAAAATCTTTATTATTTTAGTACTTCGAACTATTCACGATCTCTGCTTCGACTGTTGACCATGGAAGTGGACGCTACAATATTGCCCTTTTTACCTGGGATTGTTCTTATCAAATCTTCGACACTACATTGGAAAGGTACAATCAAATAAATTGAACGATTGTGTTGTGTAAAAGTTCTTTTGTGGATAAGTGAAACTTTTCCTGATTGATATTCAGAGATTTTTTCATGCGCTTAGTCGTTTTAAGAAAATCATTCAAAAAAAATTAATTTGAGGTTTAAGATTTAGGTTGGGATAGCTTCTTTTTCACATTTCAGTGATTTTTTAATACTCCTTAGTACGTAAAGCCTAACACATGATTGAGAAAAGCTCATCGTCATCAAGAACTCGAAGTTTATCGCACAAAAGCTTCAAGAAAATTCACGTTTAATGCTCTTTTTTAATGAATAACCTTTAATTTGGTAGCAATACTTACATTACAAATTTCCATTGAGTATTGTAGGTTACTGGTATAATATAAAGTTAGACAAAACACCTTAATCGTAGCGCCGGATTAATGATACCTCTGGAGCATTAGCACAGCCTAATGTGTATCTATTTATGGCACCGTTAGATGTAAGTACCTACCTACTAACAATTTATAGCTTACTGAGGAGACGCTTCTCTGAGCGGATAAAGTTAGATAGTGGAAGTAAAGGCTTTGTTCTTCGGAAATTAATAACTTTAAACCAGAAAGCTGTTATTAAGGGTAACGATATTTACCCAAATAAACGCGATAAGGAGAATTTTTCAATTGAATTTGGTGCTGTGATATACTATAAATATCTCAATAAGCATAAAACATACATTTTAATTATGGCGATCCCTATAACCTAGCCTAACCTAAGCCCAAGGTGTATACCATAACCTAACGTCTCAATTGGCGACTATGTAACCACATCTACCACACCACATCCTAATCATAATCCTTTGACGACCAAATATTGGCATTTAAACACCCTTAGCACGTCAAAAAATTGGTGATTTCCAATCCAGT